CGGTCATCTGGGGATACGCCGCGAGTGCATTTTTAGCACGATATATTGCCTCATATTCCTGTTCGTTATCTGTTAATTCTGACAACGCGTGAGTACCTGGGGGATTACTTATCATACCTTCAACTGTGTGAGGAAGCCGCCATTTGGGGATATACAATATCTGCGGTTCTGGACGAAGTGTAGTGCATCCTCCCACGATAGACGGTAGTGCTGCATCACGAACATTACCACGAACGACGGCGATAAACTGATTCCACCTTTGCAACACGCGTTAGCAGGGACGTACGATCGAATCTGCATGGTGGCACAAACGTACCGTTACAGTGTACCAGCACCCTACCACCGCGATTTATCGCCTCATCGATGAAGGTCTTCGCGCTGCAAAAATGCTGCATGAGTGTCAGGGGGGACAGAACAGATGGCGAAATCACTTGGGGAACAAGCGGATGAGGTTCTGCTCTTCGTTGTCTTGCACATCCAGCACCATGTACTTGAAGAGATCCGGGAATCGCGGTTTGACGGAAAAGGCCTCCTTCGCATCGCGAATGCATACGCTGTACATCGAAAAGCATGATGATCCGCTCATTCCACCCACTATCGAATTATCCGTTGCACTCACATATGAGTTATATGAAGATTCTGTAGAGTCGGGAGGTCTTTCGACGCCACAAAAGGCCCCAGATATAATCCTGGAATAATTTCCTGACATTGCCGGCGCATCTCATACCTGTGGCGCGTTGAACGTCCTTATTCATGAACAATGGTGCCCCGTACATACCTCCATTCGACCTCGGGAGGGCCAGAGATGGCGTTGCGAATCTGTTCTGAGGACATCTGTGTGCCGTTCATTGTCGAGGATCGAGGAGAAGATGGTGGTTCAGTCCAAGAATACCATTTCGACTCTGAAGGAAGCGCGCCGTGGCCCGTGACGCGTGACAAATTCCCGCATCGGGTTCGCATGAGTCATGCAGAATGAATGGAATCGGCGGTCACATGTCACAGCTGCCTCGGGTTGAACGACGAACGACGAACGACGAGTTCAAGAGAGCCTCGAAACGCTGGGTTTCTCGGCTCTTGTTCTGTTTTTGCTCAAGCTCGTGGACACGTGTGGCTTCTATATGTTTCTGCGCTTCAGTCAACTTCATCACAGTTTCCGAGCATTCTATATGTATAGTCGGAGTTTAATCAAGCTTGATTCTGTCGCTGCTTTGCGTCTTGTATATGCTCTGGCTAGTCTATCTTTATTTGCAACTTAGTTTCTCCACCTGAACGCACTATAAATCCGAGTCTCTGTCAGTGCTAGGTGTGGCCGTACTCCCGTACTCATGTACAACACTCGCATAGATAAAATGAAACAATCAAGTAAGTCTCTATAAATACTTTGTTTGCATCTGACTATCCGTCGTAGCCATTATGACAGATCACAGAGTAGCTAGCGCTGACTTCTGGTTCGAAGACGGTACAGTCATCATTCAGACCGCTTCAACCATGTATCGTGTTCATCTCACCTTACTGAAATTACATTCTGCGGTCTTTTGCGATCTTTCTGCGCTAGCACGCCCATTCAGCGTTAAAGAAAGAATAGATGGGTGTCCCCCAGTCATTGATGTCCAAGATGACGATGAAGGCTGGCGGACATTCTTGCTGGCCCTATACGAGCCGTACCGGTATGTAGTGGGATTGGTGCTTGTTACTCTAACGGTAGATTCGAATGTCTCTAAGCCTTTGCGTTATTTACAGATTTTTACGAGGAGTGCGGAAGAACAATACCAAAGCCCTCGACCAGCTTCCTCATCTACTTGTACTGGCAAACAAATATGATTGTCGGGCTATGCGACAAGAGTGCATCGACCGCCTGTCACGCATCATTCCCGCGTCCCGCTCCTACACGTCCTTCACCTTCCCTAACCTTGTGGCTCTGAAGAACATAATCGCGGGGAAAAGTCTGAACGACGCTGCCAAGCTCCTCGAGTGTTTCCGTTCGGCCAATACACCGACGCTTCTTCCATGCACATTATTCTGTATCTCCAACCTATTCAGCGTCGAGGACATCCATAACCTTGAACCACATCAGCTTTCATGGATGGACAAGTCATTGATACTGCGTGGGAAAATCTGTGTCGAATCAACGGCCAAGGAAACCACCAAAACTTTTTTCAGCCTTTTTTCCGATCGCGATATTCCGAGTAAATGCACATGTTCGAAGAGGCGACGTTCATGCGACAAAAAGACAGTTTCCGCGTGGTGGTCAGATACATTTAATGGATGGCTGGATGCTCGTCTACCGAGCGAAGAGGTAGAAATTTTCCAAGAGAAAGGGTTTTGTTCGACATTTATTGCTGCGTGCGATGAATTATTCGAGGACTGTCGTGAAGAGCTCTGGGAACGACTCCCAGAGTGCTTTGGCTTAGGGTCCTGGCAGGAATTGAAAAGGGAGCAATCATTTCACACTGATGCTTAAACTTTCCGCAATGTAATTTCTGTACAAAAATTGAGACCTGTCCTGTTGCCTTACATGGTATGTAGGTTCTGTATCGGGCAACTCCTCTATGAGTCATGAACTTTGTCACCGCTTCATCGACATCATGTTGCTCCTCAATTCGAAGTCTTACCGTGCCCGCTTAGAGCCTTGTCCGCCTAGATTTACTCCGATTAATCATTTTGTCCCGGGAAGGGTTATCAAGCCTTCCGCGTGTTCCCTGAACATGGATGACGAAGAAATACCGTACGTTCATCGTTTTATCCGACACGGACGTATGAACCCTTCGCGCCAGGACTCTCATCGAGCATCAGTCCGAGCAATCGAAGCGTGTGCCTCTGACTATCATATGCGGTTTCTTGGGAGCAGGAAAATCTACTCTTTTGAAGTAAGCAACTGATTGCTCTCTCGCACACATCGGGTCTGACTAGATGAATTCATCCTCCAGACGTATCCTCACCGAGCGACATGGCTACCGCATCGCAGTCATTATGAACGAATTCGGAGATACTGCAGTGAGTTCGCTTGAACGTGAACTGATGTGTTTCCAATTGAAATTAGGACATTGAAGGTATAACGATATTTTCTCGGCGTTTATGACACTGGTTCATCGTTTACACACGCCAGCCAAAACTATCAATGTCGGCGACGGAGACGATCCGGCATCTCGTTCAGATGAGTTTCTCGAGCTTGCGAACGGTTGTCTGTGCTGCTCCATCAAGGATGTCGGAATCGCTGCTATTGAAAAGTTGATGGAGCGTCGCGGCGCTTTTGACCACATTGTACTAGAGACGACTGGTCTCGCAGATCCAGGTGCGCGTTGTCCGTGTAATTGTACTGTTGCTGTTTAGCCAAGCTTATATATACATGTCGTTGTAGGTCCAATTGCGTCTATATTTTGGCAGAATGAGGAATACGCCATGGGACTTGGCAGAGATATAGCGTTAGACGGCGTCGTGTGTGTTGTGGACGCCTTGTTCGGTAGACAGGTACGCGTTTTAAAATAAAATTTTTTACTTTGAAGCCTATTATTCTTATACACACCATAAAGCAAATAGAAGAAGACAGCATTTCCGAGACCAGTGAAGAAATTGGAGAAAGCATAAGGTAAATTACTTTCTTTGCCGGTTTCGCAGGCGCGTGACGCAACGAAAATTGCAGACAAATCGCCGGTTCGGATGTTATCATCCTCAACAAGATCGACCTGGTGAAGCCTGAGCAAGTCTCAGAAACGCAGCGCCTCATCCGCCAGGCCAACCCCGTGGCTCCCATCCATCGCACCGTGCGCGGAAAAATGGATATTGGCCTGCTCCTGGGCATCCGTGCTTACTCTAGCGCACCGGAAATTACCATTCATCCTGAGCACAACCACGCCGTCGGACACGCGGATGACGATGACTGCGAGGTGTGCCGGCCGCATTACGAGCTACGCGGTATCTCTGCGTTGCACGTCTCCGTGCCAGTGCTCGACGCGACGCGCATGGAGGGACTGGACAAGTGGGTGCGCGCCGTTCTGTGGGACGGGCAACTGCCCGAGTCACTTCCGTCAAAAGATGAACGGCGGTCCGCCGACATCGTGGTACTGCGATGTAAAGGTGTGTTCTCAACAACCGAAGGCACACGGTACGTCCTCCAGGGTGTGCGAAGCTTGTACGACATCTTCGCGGTGGAAGAGGCTGACCTTGGTCTCCCCTCCGAGGGTAAGCTCGTCTTCATCGGCAGAGGACTAAACGAAGAGGTGCGGAGGAGCTTAATGGAACGGGTTGCGTAGCTCTACCTCTGTGTAGGCATCTCTTGGCTGTATCTAGCATGGCAGCGTCAATCATCTTTGGTCTTGTGACCGTCTCTGCACACTACGGCGTGGTCACGACGTGGCTCTGGTTCTCCACGGTCTGCTTGAAATGTCAGTCCATCGTTCTGGAGCTTCGGGAGCTAGGGGCTGACTTCCCGGTAACCCGACCTCGTTCCCTATATCGTATCCGGTGACTGAGGATTCCTCTCCACTATTGTCAAATCTCTGTCGGCTGGAACTGAAAATTACTGCGCTATGATGGGATGTCAGAGTAAACGCATCGCCTTGGTCCTGTTACTCGGCTCAAATGTCAGAGAGTATCGTATTGTGAGCGTATCATGAGATGCACACAATAACGGAAGGGCAAGTACACGCACAAGACATCGCAAAACCAACGGGCAGGTTCTCTGACGTATATCATTTCCTCCTGGTCTTGTTTGCGTTCGAGGCTTATCAGGGCTTCCAGGTTCCCAGCTTGTCTTTTGGACGAGTTGTCAAGACTTACTGTGTGGTCTAGATGACAGTACGGATCTTCAAGCTTCAATGGCGGGGATTGGTCGGGCCTCAGCGCGGGCTGCTGATCTTTGTGAGGGCTTGGTGGCGCATCCGTTGATACTCATTAGGCATATATGTTTTTTCTGTAGAAATGTTTTAGTAATGTAAAAGTAAGCGGGTTTAGATGTTCCCGCATTCGTTTCATCATAAGACTCGGGACCGCGTGCAGGATATGCCCGCCTAGCTCAATCGGATAGAGCGTCAGACTCTTATTGATATAAGATGGGGGTGATATCTGAAGGCTGCGAGTTCGACCCTCGCGGTGGGCTTCCAGTGCTCGGACAAGGCTTTGGGTCTGTTGATTGTATGATTTTTGTTTTGGATTCTTTTGTACACTGATATATTACTTGATTTATTTGGTGCATATTCTATTGTATTTCATCTTTGTGAGATTATTGTAGCAGCTAGGATGTTATGGCAAAATCTATAGTTCTCATGAGCTTTCCTGCACTTCACTTACGCAAACTGAGGAAGTGGTCGGCGCAAACAATTTGTCACAAACAGGCATTGATAGACGAATAGAAGGAAGTTTCGAATACAACGTTCAATTAACAGAGCTTGAACTATTTCTACGCTTCCCCAATAACAATTGCGAAACAATGCTGTGGATATGAGCCATTTATGAGTCACGTTCGGCCGAATGTGGGGGAGGTGAGTTGACGTCATGGTGCCTTAAAACAGGATATTGTCGGATGGCACGTCGCTTTTGACTGATAATCAGAACGCACTCCCAACGGCGAGGCCTATAGTGCTCTTCTACCCCGTGCTCATTGTACCCGACGACCAACTCGATGGCCTCTACGTCGTCCGTCGCGACAAGCATCGCATCATCACCGATACGCACACCTGCCAAAACGGCGGCATCGCCTGATCAAGAGAAAGACGCTCCGCGACCGCTGTCCATCGACAAGCACGAGACAATGTTGGTTGCGAGCTCAAGCAGCTCACATCCGAAGCCAACGACGGCAGCATTGGCAGACAAGTCTAGCTCAGCTGCGGCGGCAATTTCAGCGTCTCCGACAGCAGTGTCGGCGACGGCACCGTCATCCACTGCATCTGCGTCCCCTGTATCTGTGTCAATTACGACTGCAAAGGTGAGCTGTAGTCTTGTCATATGGCGGCGTTGATGCCCTGACAGCGACGACCAGCAGGCAGAAGAGCCTGCCTTGTCAACCTCGCCGAGCCCACAGCCAATCGATATGGAGACATTCCTGCAAATCCTCGATCTAGACGAGGATTCGGACCACGAATTCAGCCGTGATATGGTCGAAGCATATTTTGCTCAGGCGGCGACGACATTCGAGGACATGGCGTCTGCAATGTGCGTATTTCGCTGTTTACCTTCGCGTATTATCATTACCGCACACAGTTGATGCCGAAGTTTAACATCCCCACAGATCATCAGCGGACCTCACGAAGCTCTCCGAACTTGGTCATTTCCTGAAAGGTTCTTCTGCTGCGCTCGGTGTTTTCAAGGTCCAGGCGTCGTGCGAGAAGATCCAGAATTTTGGAAAGAATCAGGACCAGGACACTGACCGGTCTCTCACCGACGCGGAAGCGCTCAAAATGATCACTGGTCTGATGCCGACTGTCAAGCGGGATTTTGCGGATGCGGAGAAATGGCTGAAGAACTGGTACGAGAAGAACTGCACACCCGAGCCATGAGTCACTCGACGAGGGTGAGCACGGTGCCCGCAGCTCGCTGTGTGAAGTGAGTGGGATGGCGAGCGTGGCTGGCAGCGAATTTGGCGAACCGGCACTTCCAACTCGACGGCTTCACTGCTGGCTCCGTCCGCGGGCACGCATGCGTTCATCGTTCATGTGCGCTTTCTTTCACGTTCGTACATGCGTACTTTCGGATCGACTATCAGATACATATGTGCGGCGGCAGCCGTTATATATATATGTATATACGGACCTCTCTTCTCACACCCCTTGCCGACCTCGTCGTAGTTAACACTGTCACCGGCACACCTGCATTTCTCCTTCGTGTACCATGCTTTGTCTTTGTCCATCTTCCCTGCTCATTTCTTCAATGACCGCCCACAGTTACATTAACACCGTTACCTGACGTTTCGTAGTTATGCTTTTGTCTCCTTTTCTTTTTTCTAGGTACATGTATTTTGTCTTTGATCAAATTTACATAAAGATCAGGTGTTTCTTATTCTCTGTACTTTTCTTGCTTCTCTTCCTTCAGTGTTTTAGGTACTGCCTGTTCGGACCGCTGTAGTACAATGCGGTCCGTTGCTCATGTAACTGTTCCTACAATACCTGTATAATTGTTATCTCGCAATGTGCTATCCTATTTTTTTTTAATTCCTGTTATTGAGTATTCCTGTATAGCACCGCCTCCTATGATCATGTTATGCAAAGCAAAGAACAAAGAGGAATACTTTTTACGTGGCTAACATGTTTTGTGCTCATGCATGTTCGTCGTATCTGCGCGTGGTGCTCGGCGTTCAGAGCGTTCATCCTCTACGGTGGGATGAATTGAATGCCAACGACACGATGGCTGGCCTCCGCAAAGCGCGGATATCGTGGTCCAGACACAGCAGACGAAACACGAGCATGCACGGATTTCATGCGCCCCGCCTCGTCATGCTCGCGCTTATGGATTTCTGCGCCCTCCTTTGTAACCGAGCTTGTGCCTTGACGCGCTCGCGTGACTGCTGCGCCGGCCTTTTCTTTTTTTTTGTAGGGGGGGAGGAGACAGGGGGAATTGGGGTCCTTGCGTGCCCCTGCTATGCAATTAACCCTTCGTCGATATCATCCATTTCCCGTACGCGTTTTATACGTGTTGCTTTTATTCGGGCCCCAGGACCTCCTCCCGTATGTAAAGTTTTACTTGAGCTCAAGCCCGACAAATATCCAAAAATTGCGGTGCACTCACAGCGTAGACCGACCACCGGTATGTGATTTTGTTCAACGCAAACCGAATTCGATAAGAAAAGAGCTGGTACAAGTTCAAACGTATGATATACGATCACCACAGGCCATGAATGAAACCAGAGATGTAGACAGAGATGTAGATAGATCAAGTAGTCATTAATACAGGAATTGGGCTCACTAGACGTCGGATGGCGGAGCACATTACTATTCATCAGATGTACGCGATATCTCTGTCGCCGCCATCCTCACCGTCTCCATCGTCTGACTCACCACTGTCATAGAAATCATGATACCGAGTGTTGATGAAACGGGTTTCATCCGATGCAACACAGTAAACCTCGAGAGCACCGCACTCGGACAAGGCCTGTAGTTCACGGTACTGCGATCGCGCTTCGGGACAGCGAATATCCAGTCGGCGCAGAGTCGCATGCGGCTCCTTGCCCTTGCGATACCCCACGCGACCCTCCACTTTGATCTTTCGGGCCCCACATCGTTTTTGGGCGACCCGGATGACGTTGTGGATATTTCTAAAGGATGGTTTTTCAGCCTTGTCAATCTCGACCTCCAAATGCTGCAACCGAGGCAGCACGGTGAACCCGCCGTCAGCATTACGTTCTCTCAATGCGAGCCAAACGTCCAGATAGGCACGGACAGACAGATGTGTTACGTATGGCATCTGGCGCAAAAGCTCGACGAGGGCAATGCTGGAGCCCACTTTGTCCACGCACAGCGACTCGATGTTACATCGCGACCGACGCAAAAAGAAGCCAACCACTTCGAGATGCGGTGAACTGTCGTATAGGCAGAAGTGCACAAGATTGGGTGCCGTGATGATGTCCAACATAAAGAGTGACTGATCGAGATCTAGTCGACGCAATTGAGGCAACGACACGGTATTAGAGGACAGTTGGTGCGAGTCACATACGATATGTGCTCTAGCTACCTCTGAGGAAGTGCACCCACGGACAGTCAGTTGGGAGAGGGCAGGGGCAAGGGAAAGAACGGCATGGAAGTCAACGTCCTTGAGGAAAGCCAAATTCAGGTCAGTGATCTGACGAAGAATTGGCTGCATGGCATGCAGATCAATTTGACACGCGTGAAGCCTGAGTACTCGCAAGGCAGGGACTTGCTCTGGGAAGAAGAACTGCGACGTGGAACACGAATATAAGCACAGCTCTTTTAGGACGGGATATGACGAACGGTAGACAAAGACGGCAACCGCTTCCGAGACATTGTCGAGTCCACAGCGATCCGGCGCGTGCAGTTCTGCCACCCGCCAAAGGGAGGATACTTTCACGAGCGCTTGTACGATGGCCCAGTAATTGGTCTGCTCCGTTTGTCGAGTAGATGCATCTGAACAAACATGGACATCACGAACGAGACAAAATTTGAAGGGATGTGGAGACACCATTTCGATGTATCGGCGAACTGCGAGCAGATCTTTGCAACTGTATGATCCAGGGATGAGGTGGGCCTGTGGGCGCAACATGGGTGTATCACGCATGATACGCCACCAATGTTTGCACACGCTTGCAAGTCGATGTATGGTGGAATAGCGATCGCCGAATATGCCGGCCTCAAGCGTCATATCTTCGGGAGTCTGTAACCGATCGGAATAAGAGGCGATGAGATACGAAAATACGGTGCTTAGCAGCTCCACAGGAAGTTTACGGATGGGGGATAATACAGAGCGTGCAACGGCAAGATATTCGAAGACAGGTTTGAGACCTAGGGCTGCGCGCGCGTCCTCGGACATATCGTTGACCTCTTTGACCGTTGCCTCAAGGTTGTTGATTTCTCGTTCGATGCGCGCCATCGCTAAAGGCGAAGGAAGAGAGCCGTCGCGTAGGACTTCCTTAAGCTCATGCGTGCCAAACGGCCCGGTCGGCAGATACGGATGCGGAAACGCGTCGCGATCACAATGCTGCCAATGGCACTGAAAGAAATGCAAGTTCAGGTTTTAGCAAAATATATCATCTGGTTTCACATACAGTCAAATTTGCACCCATTGGATATTGTCTTCGATGAGAACACAGACTGCCCCTAAAGAAAAAGCACCCCTCCACTTGAGGAATCACCAACTTCAACCCGCCGTGAGCAAGTTGGCTATGAGAACAACAGGCGCCAGATTATATTGCTCTACAACTTGAGAAATTCGGAAGGGGATAACTTGCGCTGAAATCAGGTTAAACGCTTTCACGTTCAAGCTCAAGCTCAAGTCCCGGGATGCCGGATGAGATGGGATGATTCGGACCTGGTTACGCGGAAGGGCCCGAGGAAGGAGGAAACGAGGGTGCAGCGAGAACGCGACGAGGAGACTGAAGGAGCATAGCGATGGCACTGCGCTATTATATATGTCTGAGACAAGGAGTGAATGGTA